GATCCCAGCTCCAGGGACCCGGATGTTAGCGTGGGGGGGGGGGGGGGGGAGGCAGAGCGTCTGGTTAGCAGAGGATACATAGGATGGAAGAAGGGGACGATGTTGACAAAGAATATGCCGTGGGATAGACAGATAGAGAGACCGGGGGTAGTATGTGTTTGGATCATGGGGGAGAAAACAGAGACAAAGAGGAGCGCGGCCTGTCTGCTCTCGCTGGTGATCTCCCTCTCTCCCTCTCTCCCTGGAAACGTAGAGATGCTACTACAAATAGGTACCAGTGTAGAAAATCGAAAGGAGAAACATCATCGCGCGGCAGAGCAGGGTCGGCGTTGCCATGCGGACATGTGCAGCCATCTGCTTTTAGCGCCGGCGGCCGCGGGGTATAGTGCGAGTGTCCCTCGGTCTTCCTTTTCCTCTGTCTTGTTGCGCTCCCTTGCTGCTGGAAAACCCGTCAGCAAGAATAACGGCTGACTGGCGTTTTTTTTTTTTTTTTTCGCGCGCGCGCGCAAGCTCACGTTGTAAAGTTACGGTTTGGTGTCGCTGATTGCAAAACTTGTGTCGGCTTCGTATTAATTGTTATTATTTTCCTCCCCCTCTCTCCAAGTAGGTACACAATAGTTCTCGGCGATGTCGCCTTTGGTCCAAGATGAAAACGTGGGCATTCGAGGTGCTGATCGGTATGGTCCCGATCGCTTCAAGCAATGCCGACATTAGGTCGCAAGACGCCGTTAAGCGTCCACCGAGCGCGTGTGTGAGGTGAATCAAATGCAGTTGGTTGGATCCATGGGTGGAATTTTCTCTTCTCTTCTTTTTAAGCGTTGCGCGTTTTGGCTGCCCATGACTACCTGTTGTTGTGAAGGCGGTAGTGTTGCGACAAGGAGTAAAAATTACTTTGGCACAAGGCGTAAAGTGGTGTAAATGGGTATGCGGGTTATGCTTGAGGGGTCGGTGGAGGGGGGGCGGGTCGGGGGGGTTACGATGTTAGGGTATTTTTTTTGAAACGTTTTTCGGTGTCCACTACTGGGTTTGCTGTGGCGGGATGGCTTTTCTGACGTCGCTTTTTACGTTTTGGTCCCTGTTTTTTCGTGTGTTGGTATACATACATGGCTGTTTTTCGGGGGCCGTTGTGTCCTACAGTTTAGACCCGTTTCTATGCATAGAGCCAGCCGTGAATCGTGGTTTGCGGTTGAAGGTTAGCGAGAGAGTGAAATCGTTTTCCGGCTTTCCTCGGGGACACTCGAGGGGGTTTCGATTTTGTCGCCTTGCTCTCTCTGATAGACGCACACGCAGCAGGGGCTTGTTGGTTATGCTTACAGAAGTATTGATTGTGGATGTAGAGGTACTAGTACAGATGTGGGGAGACAGCAGTCAGTCGTCTACAAACGCTCGCTCTGAGACCATCGTTGTTACTCGGTATGAGGAGAAAAGTTACGCAAAGCAATGATGATCAACCCGCAGAGTTTGAGGAGTCAAGTCATGCCAGAACAATATGCGAGTAAAATCTCGACTCAGCAATAGTATATTTCTTTGTTGTTGTCGTCGTGACCCGGGATGAAGGCGGTGGTAGTAAAGCACTGCCGTAAACAAGTTGTTTTTCTTTCTAAGTTTAAGGTGCTGGCCCAGTAACCGTCAAGTGGGGTACTCTTCTACGTGTGAACTTGGATTGCAGGAGAGAGGAGGGGTATCGTGGTGGATTTTAGCTCTACATACCGTCGAGAAGAACACATAATGGCAGCATGCTGCCCTCCCTGTCTTTGGGTGAGATAAATCAATACATATTGTATACATGCATGTGTTTTCCAAAGACTGAACGAGCCGGATCTCAACCAGGGGTGGTGCTTTGCCCCGGTGTGGCTGCTGGTTTTTGGAAGGATGAAACTGACCATCGAGTGACGAGAGCCGGCGGGTGTTGTGTTGTGGTCGAACTCGAAGGCATGTTCATGCGCGAGTAGGGAGAGGAGAGAGAGGATGCTTCCCTCCAAAGGTCTTGAATCTTGAAGCATCCTCAAACGTAGACCACCGCCAGACTCGCACAGAAAGTCCAGCAGGGGACACCCCACTGAAAGAGACTTTCAAAAGACGCGCACCTTGAGAATTAAGTAACTCGAAAGGTCAGTTCTTCCATCTGTCATGGAATGTAGAAGTAAATGGCATGTCCTCCCCTTCTAAATATGCCCATGGTTGAGAATTGACTCGAAGGGGTATTATAGTATGCTACTCCATCTTACCTGTCATGGGACCAACATGGCACGGTTTCTTCAAAATATCAAGTAAGAAACACCTGCAATACACACTTCTACAATAGAATGAAGAGTCACACTACTACAATAGAATGAAGAGTCACACTACTATAATAGAATGAAGAGTCACACTACTACAATAGAATGAAGAGTCACACTACTACAATAGAATGAAGAGTCACACTACTACAATAGAATGAAGAGTCCTTGTATGACTGACCCCTGCTGATGCGTCCAACTATTCGCCGAATGATCTACTAAAGTCTGGCACGCCCAGACTAGCCTGACACGCCCATAATTGACAGAGGACCAAAAGAGTCTTCCCCAGGATTTTCCTGTGTTTTCCGTGATCGCAGTCATCCCCGACCCTCTCTGCCGTCTCGGCACTTCCTTCCTCCCTGATATATCTGCCTTCAGGGACGTACGTTAACCTCTCCTCCTCCTCCATTTCCTCCTCCTTCTCTGTCCAGAGAAGAGGGGTCTTCTTCGACATCTTACTTCTTCTTCTTCCTTGCTGGTCTTGTTTTGTCCTTGGCTGCCGGCTCTGTCTTCTTCCTTCTTGTTGTCATTGTTGATTCTCTCTCGGCTGTCGGGTCTGTCTTGTTCCGTCTTCTTGTTGTCGTCGCGGTTTCTGTTGTTTTTTTCTTGGCTGCCGGCCCGGTCTTTTTCGTTTCTTGCCATGGTGGAGATGGGCCTGCCAACGAGCCAAAAGTTGCTGTTCTTGTTTTTTCGTCGTCACCGGCAGACCCGGCGTCCTCCTCGTCGTCATCATCGTCCGGGGGTAACTTGGCCTGAAGCTTTTCGTTCATGCGCTCCATCCACGCCTGGGGCGAGTAAGGAACGGGAGCGGGCCGAGAAAACATTAGAGAAATACCTACATGAGGAGTAGCCAGACTAGCGGGCGGAAGGCGAGATGGGGGGGGGGGGCGCACTCATGTGTTGCATGCCGTAGTTTTTGCTGCAAGGCCATTGACACGCGCCCTCGAGAGGACGGAGCATGGGACGGGGGCATGCTCTTCTGTTATGCCTTAGCGGTTGGACTATTGACCACGCGTCCTCGAGAGGACGGAGCACTGTTCCCAAAGGACCGATCACCGGAGCATGGGGCGGGGGGGAGTCTTCAGGTGTTTTGGATTAGTTGAAGGGCAATCATCGTGGGAGGAAGGGTTGGAGACTTCCCCATCTGTGTGGCCCAGCGCTGGCAGCAACGTCAAACCCATACACCGAAAGGTAGGTTTAGATTGGCGTGGCCGTAATAGGTGCGCAATAAAGAAAAGCGAAATAGCAGCGAACAAGCTACTGGGCAGCCTGTGAGAAGAACAAAAAAAAATACAGAAAAAAATAAAAAAATCTCGAGACTCCGAAGGGAGGGACGGACGACTCTTCTCACTCACTCTAAATTGGGGCTCCGTGAGCTGGGCGATGGCGCGATAGTCCCTCAAAAAGTTGGGCTCGATGCCTGCCCTTCGCATCCTCGAGGCCCTTGGGATCAGTCGCTTGCCGAGGCTAGCGGCCAGCACCGACGGTTTCATCTCTAGGCCGTCCATGAGGTCAGACGGCTGGGGCGAGTGAAGGCAATAACGACGCAGGCAGGCAACACGACAAAAAAAACAAAAAGCAATCTCTGGAGTTGTCAAATAGTACGCGTGTTTTTCACCGTAGTAGTTCTGTTTGAATACCTTGCACTGGTCCGACCCCCCCCCAAGCCAACGGCGACTGATAAACGCAGCATGTGTCACGGGGAAAAAAATGCTCTCGCCTAAAAGGGTGCACAGGGCGGGGCGATGAAAAGGGGGCAAGGTTTTTTAGAGAGGCGAAAGGGCTCCCTCTTCCCCCGCGGTTGTTTTGTTTCGACCGCTCCCATGCCGCACTTGTACAGTATCACGAAACGAGTCGCCCGTTGTTGCAATCGAGGTTGCCGCGTTATGTGCTTTCATAGCTTTTTTCGTTTGGGTCACAGCGACAGCTATGTAAGCGCGAAGGAACCCCGGTATATCACGCGCGGCCGGAGCCAATAGACGCAACACGGGACTGAAAACAAAACAAAAAACGTTGTAGAAAACGGCAAGTTCCAACCAAAACAAACATCGATTTGGAGACAGCACAAAAAAAACTACATAAAAAAAAACAAACAGATCTAACGAAGCAAACCGAAAGACACAAGAGAGAGCAGAAAACAACAGAGACAGACGGACAAAAACGCACAGACACGCACGAGGACCTACGGTCCAAAAAACAATACCACCGTCATGTCCCCCCCTCACCTCCACCTCTCCCATGCCGAACTGGAAGAAGTCGATGGTTGGCGCGAGGTTGTCCTCGATGCTGTA